CCAGCATGGCAGAACTGGGGCTCAAACCCCAGCCCCTGCGCCTGCTTGCTGGCACTTTAATTTGCTGAGCTATTTGTCTGGTTTATAATTCTTTAGTATTCAAGGGGTATTAGTTTCAGGGCCTCCAGAAAATAACAAAATCTGAGGATGTTCAAGTCCTATATATAAAATGGCATAGTATTTGTGTATAACCTATGCTTATGTTCCCATATACTTTAAATGATCTCTAGATAACAAATAATGCAATATAAATGCCATATAAATAGTTGTTATCCTATATTATTAATTAGGGAATAATAACAAGGAAAAAAAGCCTATACATATTTAGTACAAATGCAATATGTTTCCCCTACACAGATTTTTGATCTGTGTGGTTCATTGATTTTGTAGATATTGAGCTGACAGAAGCAGGGCCAATAGAAGCAGCCAGATTTATATAGAATGCTGGTTTCTTCCAGTAAGCCTATACGAAATGGAGCCATATAGTTGTTTCTCTTAGCATAAGCAAGAAAGAAGACACACCATGAAAGAGCCGCACAGTCCAGGAAAACGTCCAGCGCCAGCACTAGTTGATATCTTAGTCACTCTCTCATACTGAGGCACAGTAGTACCCAGTTCTCACAATTTAAAGGAGGGAAGGGTCCATGGCTGGCTGGCTCCAAGCCAGAAAACAACATGGCAGAGAGACAATGAAGGAAGGACTGCTCATATCATGGCTGCCAGGAAGCAGCAGTAGAAGGGAGGAGCAGGAGAGGGAGGAGCATCCTTCCAGGTCATCTCCCAGTGATGTGCGTCCACTTAGTCCCCACCTCTTAATAGTGGGTCAACTGTAATGCCTCCATAATCCAGCCACCTACAAGCCCAGCCTCTGAGCTCTTGATGCTTTGAGAGGACATTCCAGATCCAAATCGTAACAGGGGGAGTGGCAAAGAGAGTGAGCCAGTAGGTGGAACATCCAGTGGGTGCTAAACAGATAAGTCCCATGGAATAGCCAGGTAAAGATACTCTGAACCACTGCCTCCACAGAGAGCTGGCTGCAAACACATCCATTGTCATGAAGTTCTCCACATGCCAACTAGGAGGAGCCCCTATCTGAAGAAGCCTTCAGGCCTGGCAGGAATGCCAGGTTAGCAGGCCAGGCTCTGTGGTTCCTGCCTAAACATGGCCTCCGTCACTTCTGGGAACATTTCAGAATATGAAAGTCTGCACAGAGCAAATACCCTACAGTGCAGCATAACCTCAGACTCTTGACTGCACCAGGGGCCTCAACCATCACAAGTCCCAACCAAGAGGATCAAATTCCTAGAAAAACAGAAAAATAGTAGAAACAAACTCAAAGGAGGAATATGAATAAAAAGAGGTGAAATTGGAAAGAGGCTCAACAGAACTCCCTGGATTGATGCAAATGTTCTATATCTTGTTTGGGTGGTGGTTGGATGAGTATACAGCTATGTAAAAGTCATCAAAGTGAACACATAGGGTGCTGGGGAGATGGCTCCGTAGAATAAGCACTTGCCTGGCAAGCAAAAGGGTCTGAATTCAATCCCTGGTTCTGCAAAAAAAAAAAAAAAAAAAAAAAAACCAAAATGAACACATAAAATCTGTGGGTTTTCTCATATGCTATTTATACTGTCATTTTTTAAGATTTCAAAGAACTAATGTTAAATTTTGCAAAAATTTAAACAAGCAGAAAAAAGACATTATGAAAAATAGAGTCAACAAGGAGCTAGGGAGATGACTCATTTGAATAAGAGCTTGCCTGGCAAGCGCCAGGGCCTGAGTTCAATTCCCGGTTCCGTCAAAAAATAAAGAAAGAAAGAAAAAAAAAAATGGAGTCAACAAAGAAAAAACATAAATGCATAAAATAAAGCATTTTTACTAGTTTCAGTGGAAGGGCACTGATAGGTCTGACTTATAAAGTGTTTTTAAAAACTGAAGAGGTATTGAAATATTAGACCTCTGATTTAATTTAATTAATTAATTTGATTGAAGTTATTATCAAGTTGCCAGGCATGGTGGTGCGCAGCCATTTCCCAGCACTCAGGAAGATGATGTAGGAGGATCACTGTAATTTTGAGGCCAGCCTGGGCATATAGTGAGTGTAGTCAGCCTGAACTACATAGCAAGACCCTGTCTCAAAAAAAAAAAAAAAAATTATAATCATGTTTAAACATATAAGAGAATTTAATAAAATCTGGCCTCAAAAACCAGAACAACAAGATTGAAACTGCTAGTCCCTGAGAGACCTAAGAGCCTAGCATATGTTACCAACTTCAGAGGGAATACAGATAGAGTCAGACCCCTTTTGGGAACTGGATGTCTCACTTGCCACTTTTTCTGAGCTCTAGGTAGCTGTTGCTGTCATCGGAGGAAATCAAGTGGTATTTGGAATGATTTACCTTTACAGACACACTTCATTTTTTTTCAGTACACTGTCCTCTTCTACATTACTTCATTTTTTATTTGTTTATTTGAGACAGGGTCTTGCTTTGTAGTGCAGGCTGTCTTGAAGTCACTATTGTAGCCCAGATTGACCTTGAACTCATGGTGATCCTCCTGCCTCTTCTAAGTGCTCATTTTAAGTTGATCATTTATTTTGGGTCTGAGCATGGTACTTAGCTTACTACAATAAGAGTGCAGCTATTGAATTTACTTCTCTCTTCATTTTTTTTCCCTAAGAGATGGGAAGGAAACAGAGATGCATGTTAATTTATGAATTTTTAGAAATAACCAAGAGTGAGTATATATGAAACATTTAGCACTTCCCTGAAGGAGAAGGCTTTTGCTTCCTCCATGCATGTGTAAGCCAGGCTTCCTGGAAATAAGGCCAGGGACTTGATGCTCACCTGCCAGTCACACAGTTAGTTCACTAGTAACTTGGATCTAACTGTACATAAAAGAAGGAAGATGACTTTAAAAAAAAAAAAAGCAAAAATCTCCTTAGATGCTATTATGTGATACTTACTGAAATCAGACCACTATCTGATTATTTATTAGGAACTGAGAAATTCAGTTTTTACCTACTTCATATATGCTCATATGTAAAGCTGTATATATGAAAGAAGTATTACACTAAACAAATACCCAAAATAAAATTTCATGTACCCAACTCAGCCTCTTAAGAAGGCAGTCTCAAGGATGTGAGGGTGATCCAGAATGCTATAACTTCAGTGTGTGTGAGAGAGATCGAGCGAGAGAGGGGAGAGGGGAGAGGAGAGAGAGGTATTGGGGTTTGAACCCAGGGTCTTTGCACTGAGCTGCATCCTTTACCCTTTTTTTATTTTGAGGGTTCCACTGAATTACTAAATTGCCCAGGCTGGGCTCAAACCTGCTATTTTTTTACTCTAGCCTCCACTTTGTTTTTGGTAGTGTTTCATGTTTTCAGATTTAGAATTCTCAATCTGAACCATGAAGTAACAATGTGCTAAGAAAGCAAAATTAATGAGACCTGTCAAGAGGACATGGGAGTCAACCTGAGAGCTCCAGCTTGAATGATTTGCACAACAAAATAGCTGTAGCATTGGTTTATAGCCCAGTGAGTACAGTAAATATCCAAGAGTCCATAATGATTACTGAATAAAAAAATAAGTAAGTGGGATCAGCCTTTCCTTATAGAATTCCACTTAACAAAAAAAAGAATGAATAGGAGAAATAGGAAAGCCCTGTGACAGCCACAGTAGCTACTGTAGTCAAAATCTACAGAGGGATGCTAAAATTGGTGGGCAAAATTTTAAAGGGAAATGGGCAGTCTATATGATTGCAAAGTATTTTTCTTTAAATATTTATCAGTTATTGTGATTTTTTTTTTCATTTATGTATTTGATACAGGATCTCACTACACAGCTTCAACTTGGCTCATAGTGATCCTCCTGTTTTCAGGGATTACAGGCGTGGGCCACCACACCTGGACTCAGACTCATTCGCAGGCTCAGCACACCCTAGGGGAGGGGCCAGTGTGACTTGTGGGACCAGGTCCCTGCACTTGCTAAAGCAGGCCCTTAGTCTGCTGAGCTATCTTGCCAGCCCTTATGTGATTTTTAATGGTGTCATCCACAAATCCTCTTCAGGAGATGGCACTTAGTTCCTAGGTCCCAAGTGTGAGTCTGTTGACTTAATTCTAGCATGGAGAGAGAAAAATAGTCACTCAAACAAATGATCAAGATTAACCATAGTAGTAATGAAAGATACAGATATCACAGACCCTTTTTCTGATATGACAAGAGCACATCACCTTGAGGGTAAAATCATCAAGCAAGCATCAGATACCTAAATATCTGTGTCCTTCAAAAGTATCAAGGTCATGAAGTTCAGGAACAGACAAACAATCAACGAAGATTAGAAGAGACCTGGAGACATAATAAGCAAATCTCTTGTGATATCCAAAATTGAATCCTATTACAGAACAGAGACATGAATGAGAGAACTGAGAAGTTCACATATTGCCTTATATTTAAGTTAAGTCAGAAAATTTAAGTTCTATCAGTGTTCATCCAAATTCAGTTTGATTGTATAGCAGATGTTACTATTCCAGGAAATCCAGTGAAGGGTGCATGGAAACTACTATCTGTGCACTTGGTTCTAAGTCTAGAATCATTTCAAAAGAAAACATTTGCGAGGTGTGGTAGCATGAGCCTGTAGTTCCAGCTGCTTCAGGGCTGTGGTGGGAGGATCTCTTGAGTATGAGTTTAGTGCTAGTGTGACTGTGCCTGATCCATGGAAACCTTTTTGTTTCAGGGATGATGCAGTGTGTGATTGCTGTCGCAGATAAAGTGTTTGATGCCTTCCTGAACATGATGGCGGATAAAGTAAGCCCCTTCAAAGACTGAACGTGCACCTGCAGTAGAACAGCACACAGGATACTACCTTCTTTTTTAACTTTAGGCCAAGACAAAGGAAAATGAAGAGGAGCTGGAGCGACATGCTCAGTTTCTGCTGGTGAACTTCAACCACATTCATAAGAGGATAAGGAGGGTAGCAGACAAGTACCTTTCTGGTCTGGTGGATAAGTAAGTTCCATTTTCCACTGGTGCTTGTATGCATGTGTGTACATGTTTATGATCTGGAATGAGAAAACTCGTCCTTACATCATCAGTCCGGAAGACAGTGGGGTCAGAACAAAAACTCTGAAGGATGATGTAGCCTTCCTTCTGAATGTCAGTGATTTGCTTCAGAGTCTGAATTTTATTCCAGAAACCTCTGTTAACTCTGAACTATTGAGATTTTTTGGGGGGGAAGTCTTATTATATAGTCCAGGCTGGCCTTGAACTCACTATATGGTTCAGGCTGGCTTTGCACTAATGGCACTCTTCCTGCCTCAGCCTCCTGAGTACTGGGATTATAATTGTATACTACCATGCTTGGTGAGGATTTTTCAGTACCTCTCTTGCTGATAGGAATCATGTCCCTGTATCTCTGAATCCTGTCTATGGTGAGAGGATCCATCATCTAGCCCAAGGTCCAGCCACCAGTCCCTAAGTAGAATAGGTAAACTATGGGCTTCTCAGGAACAAAAACCTATACTGGCCCTCTTCTACTCTGCGTGGTGGGAACCGAAGTAGACCCTTGTGGGACATATGCCCACTTTGATGACAACTTGCCACAGATGTGGAATGCCTGGTCCAAAGAACAGCACCGTCTGAGGGCGAGTCAGCAGCCAGCCTAGGAGCCACAAGAACCAGAACGAGTCTTACACACATATTGCACAGGTCTGAGCAGGTTTTAGAGCAGCGAACCCATGGATGACTTTAAGGTTGCACCAAGGTGCTGCTCCTGTAGCACTGGGACCACCAGATCCCTTGCCTATTATTTTAGGTGTTTTTTTTCTTTAGGGCAGCAGTGGCAAACCTATGGCACATGTGCCACAGGGGGCTGTTTACATCATTGAAAGCTCTAAAACGTTTGCCATCATTGTCTGAGGGTAACATGTGCAAATTTTCCATTTGTGCCATGATATGAGAAATACTGGGGAACCTAGCTGATTACTAATAATTCTCCAGTTAAATTACTAGAATTGTTTTGGGAAGAGAGAATTACCTGACTAGTGTAATCAACACAGCTTGTTATCAGGGTTGAATCAGGCCATTTGGCCTGTGTCTGGCTGTGAGGAATGGAACCTGCTGGGCCTAGGAATCATTTCTGATCAGGCACTATCCACCTCATTGTGAAAAACGTGGAGAGGGCTGGTGACTGCCTGAGGGGTGTCCTGACATGCCACTTTTAACAGCTGTTAGCAGGTATAGTTTGTGCTGGTGCAGGGAAAGATGACTGAGGTGCTTACCCACACCTCCCCAGGGCAGTGCAGACACCTAGAAAAGCTTGATTCCTAGGCCCTAAGAGCCTTCTGTTGGTGTAGGTTTCCCCACTTGCTCTGGAGCGGGACTGTACTGAAGACCATGCTGGACATCCTGCAGACTCTGTCCCTGTCACTGAGTGCTGTGAGTCTCCTGGGTGACCTCGGGCTGCCCAATGCACCCCATCCACCCTGTGTTATGGAGTGCTTCTTAGGTGATTTGTCTGAGACTGATTTATGATATAACTGGTGAATTTGCACGTGGCAGGATGGGGAGGGGCCCAGATCACACCTTGTATTTCCCAGTAAGCTGCAGCAATTCTGAAGGACCATTATGGATGGGACACTGTGGGATGGGGTGGCAAGCATACTGCTCTCGTGGGTCAGAGACTTGGCCATGAATATCACAGAAAGGTGGACTTGAAGAGGACTATCACTGTGTTTGCAGGATATTCATAAGGACCAACCTTACTATGACATCCCTGATGCACCCTATCGGATCACAGTTCCTGACACATATGAAGCCCGAGAGGTAGGCCCCACCTGGTCTCTGCACAAGGGCCATTTTCACCACCACTCCCTGAGTATATCAGGGCAAGTATTCAACTATAGGAGGTCCCTCTGTCACCAGCAGTTAAAGGTATGAGTTGTCTTTGGCCTGTCCCATGGTAAGGACACTTTAGCATTGAGGCCCTGCTGCAGAGGGCAGGGACTAGCCCTAGCCTTGTCTGCCTCCTGGCCTATGATTTTCACATACATTAACTTGGAGGTATACCATCTTTTGCTGTTGTGGTAATAGAGTGACACAGCTTTATCTCCTTTCCCTGACTCAGCATAACTCAGGACCCCTGCTATGACAGGACAGAAACTCAGCTCAGTTCACTTTAGCTCAGCTCCAAGCTCCTCTGGCCTGGGGCAAGGACATGGCCTAATAATGCAGCAGTTACTCTGAACAGGAGCCAGACTGTCACTGGGGAGTTTGTTTGTGCAGTGATGTGGTACTTGTGAGGATATTTGCAATCAAGGACAACCTTCCCTTTAATTACTGACCCAAGACATGTCACACTTTAGCTCCATGATGTAGGTCCTGCCACATAGCCTTGAGCAAGAATTATAGACTACAGTGTATGTGACCTCCTGTACCCTGGATCCTTGGTGTTAGAACATGATCACCAGTAGGGCTACTGTGGCCAGGTAACATAGAATGGATAGCTTAAGGAAGAGAAAATTATTTCCTCACAATTGTGAGGTCTGGGAGTCCCAAGCTCAAGCTGTCTGCATAGGTGGCTGCTCTTCTTGGCATGTAGGTGGCTGGCCTCTCACTGCAGTATGTCTTTCCATTATGTCTCTATATCCTTGGTACCTCTTGGTGTCCAGATTTCCTCTTCTCATAAGGATCTCAGCCAGATTAGATTAGGGCCCATCCTGAGGCCTTTTAATTTAGTCACCTCTTTCAAAGCCCTGTCTTCAAGTGCAGTTTTATTCTGAGGTACTAGGGTTTAGGGTTTTATGAACATAGATTTTTTTGTGTGTGTGAGGGAGGAACCAGTTCAGCCAATGTCAGTCACTGAAACATCCCGGATAGGCTGATTTTAGTTGTTAAAAAGCATTGTCGCCCACTTGCAGAGCATCGTGAAGGACTTTGCTGCGCGCTGTGGAATGATCCTGCAGGAGGCCATGAAGTGGGCACCTACAGTCACCAAGTCCCACCTACAGGTAAATTCATGAAATCATTAAAAGGCAATCTTCGTGTGTGTTTATATTTTTTCTGTTTTTCTTAGTACATGTTTGCAATACATAGTGATTACATTCATTGTGGAGAATTGGTACATGTAGACAATCTCGATAAGTTTCTTTGAGCAGTCCAGAGAGCTTTTACACAAGTCCGGAGCACTCAAAATACAAACAGCACTAGGGTAAATAAGCAGACCAAGAACATCAGTCAGTTTAGAGCCTGAGAGTACTAGTCACTCAATACTAGCATCTCAAGGTGCTGCTCTGTTAGGAGCATTGGTGAGTGACTGTGCTGGTCAGGGCAGCAGGAGGAGAGGTGGCCACCAGGCTGAACAGGCCCAGACCTGACCATCCACACCAGATGAGGTACCAAGTCTGTGGCAGGACTTGGGACTGCTTGTGAAATGAGTAAGGGCTGTGTGATGGGCAGAAGAGGCTGCTGAGAGATAGCAGCAGTGCCTAAAGCTGAGTGCACTGAATGCACATTAGGCAATGTCTAGTAATGCTTTTTGTCTCAGTAAAGCTCTACCTGGAAAAGACTTTACAAAGCTGCATTAGTAGGTACATAGGCGGGTCCTCCCTCCCCCAGACAAATGTACTGGCTTGTAAATGTGGATGACTGGAAGATGAGCCATTGTTCTAGAGACAGAGATAGAACAAAAATGCCAAAGTGTATGAGAATAAAGAGTTGCCTTAAAAAGAGGTCACAGAGCTGAATGTAATGGTGCATAGCTATAATCCCAACACTGGAAGGCTGAGGCAGGAGATTGAAAATTAAAGCCCAGTCTGGGCAGTTTAGTGACTTACTGAGAGCCTGTCTCAAAATAAATAAAGAGCTAGAGCTGTAGCACAGTACAAAGGCCCTGGTTTCAATCCCTAGTACCCCACATAAAGTGTGTGTGAGGCAGATCAAAGATTAAAAGTGCCACTAATAGGAATCCAGGTTAGCAGAGAGCAGGTGTGTTGAGAGGAGCTTGTGAAATTGACCTTATATTTCAAGACCAGTTCAAAAATGTTTTAAGAGTCTGAGCCTGCTAGCTTATGCCTATAATACCGCCTGTTTGGGAGACAGAGACAGGAGGGTTGCAAGTTTGATGCTAGTCTGGGAAACATAGCAAGATCCCAGCTCAAAAAGAGAAAAGAAAAATAGCTTCTTTTGATGTAGAATCCAGGAAGGGTAGAACAGCCAGCTCTAGGAGCCTTTGAGACTGTTTGGAACTGTGGTGTACAAGAACATGGGGCTTGTGTCTAGGGTTGCTGTGAATTCCTCCCTCCTACGAAGGGGTTGAGCAGCAAGGGTAAATGGGACCAGGGGGCCTCTCTGTGGGAGAGACCCACAGGCTAAGCTGGACAAAGCTGCTGGGCCTGGTAATAAGCCACCCCACTATTTGATGCCTTGTAGCTTTCACATTTGCACACTGGAATTCTTTGAACTGAGGCAGTCTTTCCAAGTATTAATATTTGGGAAATGTCTGGTTGCTATTGTTTCATGTAGGCTACAGTCTGAAGAAGGGAAGAGCCCTTTAATGCCTAAATGGTTTAGTGGACAAAAAAGGAGTCACTAGAGAGAACTTTTTGTTTTCCCTAGCATTTTCTCAGCTAAGTTTGACCTAGAAAAGAAGTGGAAAATGACAGAGCTTGAAATGTTCCCCATGGCACCCTATCCTGATCCTGGTTTACATTTTCTGTAGCAGTCCACTTCTTCTGAACTCCCATCATCACACAGCTCTCATTGCTCAGGCCCACTTTCCCCTCCTGCCCCCAGCTTCAGCCTTCTTGTCTGCCCTCATCTGTGCTCAGCAGATTTATTCAGTTTTAATAGCCAATCTGGTCAGTGCACTTCCTTTTAAACTTGATCATTGGCTACTCCCCGTAGCCAGGGGGTCCATGAATGGATTTCTGTGGTGTAGTTTTGTGTGTACGTGCTCATATGTGTTTTCCTATGGGGAATTAGTTTCTGTTGGTCTAGAACCTCCCAGCCACCCACCCCATAACCTTACCCCTATAGGTGGTACTCTATGGTTTGAGCTCCCATGGTCCCCAGAGCAGTCCTTTTTCCCACCTTTCAGCTCAGGCAAGGGTCTCTTTGCTCCATGCCTCTTCCACTGGCCAGCCGGGGTGGCTTAGGTGCTTGTCCTGGGCTTCTGGTGACTGTCTTGGCTGCCTTGGGCAGCAGGAGTACTGTGGCAGTGACCACCACCTGTAACAGGTTCCACCCACACTGCTGCACACAGTGGTCTGAGGGACCAAGGCCTTGTAGCTTGTCCCTAGTGGCCAACAAAGCTCTTGGTAAGAGATAGATACTCAGCAAGGAGTGATCCTTTCCTTTTAACTGTATGACAGTGCACTTCCATGTGACAACCACTGTGGGCCTTGGGCCTTGCCCTCATTCATAGACAAGCAGCAGCTAACCACAGAGGGTCTTGACCTCACAGCTGGGGCATGAGTTGCAGACACAACATTGAAACTTGGTACTTCCTCTACTATTCCACACCTTACTATTTGTCTTTTTTAAATTGGATCTTGCTGTGTAGTTCAGGCTGGCCTTGAACTCACTTTGTAGCCCAGGTTGGCCTTGAACTTGTAGTAATATTCCTTCCTCAGCCTCCCAAGTATGGGATTATAGGTGTATGGAAAAAGCCACCATACCTGTTTTTTTTTTTTTTTTGTACTCCACACCTAATTTATAAAGTTTTATTTTTCCCTATATGTGAAATAGTATGTTTTCTTTGTATTTCAGGAATATCTGAACAAACATCAGAACTGGGTGTCGGGACTGTCCCAGCACACAGGGCTGGCCATGGCTACTGAGAGCATACTTCATTTTGCTGGGTACAACAAGCAGAACACGACTCTTGGGGTATGTACGAACCTCATGCAGAGCAGTGACTCCCTTAATCTGTGGGAACAGCATTACGGGTGGGAGGATTCGAGTTTGTAGTATGTTGTGAAATTCCTTTCCCCACATGTGTTATGTGTATGCGATGTGTTTTGCAGGAATTAAACGATACCCAGTGAGAAATGAGGTGGTGGCCTAGCTATGGCAGTTTAGTAACTTAGCAAGAACCTGGTCAAAATTAAAAATAAAATAAGGGCTAGAGAATATAGATTAGTGCAGAGACCCTGGCAATCCGTAGTACACAATAGAAGACGGGGTGAGGGGGTAGGGGTGGGGCAGCAACAGCAGCATCAATTACAACAGGCATTTCCTTATTGTTGTCTTTAATACATAGATTTATGGAGATCAAAGGTTGATTCATTAATGAGATCAGACTTAGATTTGAGTGTCTGTATACAAAAAAGGAAGAAACTGACCTCTCTTGAACTACTGGTTATTGAACAGCATCATTTCAGTCATTGTTTATGTGGAACATTGACCAGACTTCCTGATAGTTCTAGGGAGCTGGACTCTATGCCTGCACTTCAGCTTCATCTTGTTCTGCTTGAAATTAATTTCAGGGGCAGCAGATTCACAAAGTAGTTCTTTCTGAGTTAAATTAGAGCCAAAAGGTCAGTGAGGATCAGAGCAGGCACTTACATCTAGTGATGAGACTGGCCTGGCAGTGTTGTGTTTTGGCATCTTAACAACCCCAACCCCTACCCATCACCCCCTCACTCAGGACTTGGTTAATCTGAACAGGAGCAGGGTTGTTTAAGCTGTTTATGCTCTGACTTTCTCAGTATCAGGTGTGGGTTTTATATGAGGAGATATAGAGACTGAGGAACTAGGAGAAAGTATAGCAGGACCCCCTGGGACTCAGGCAGGAAGAAAGGGCCTTTTCCTAGGTCTGAGTGCCCTCTAGGCTCCGCAGGGCCAGAGGCAATGCCAGGCAAAACACCTGTCTCCAGACCTCACTTCACCATAAAGCACTCACCTCAAGAGCATTGCACTTTCTCCAAAAACACCAGCCTCAGCACATGTTGCCTGCTGAGCCACGTGCAGCCAGCACTCACAGGCCTTCCTGTATTGAAGGGCACGGGGGGGGGGGGGGGCAGTGCCCTGATCTGGGCCTCTCTACTGCTTGGAGGACACAGGCAGGCCAGAGGCAGAACTCACAGATTGAGAGTGCTTATGACAAAGAAGTCTCTTCAGCTCTTTTTTTATTTATTTTGAGACAGGGTCTCACTAAATTGTTAAGCTGCCTGGACTGGGCTTAAACTCAGGATCCTCTTGCCTCAGCCTCCCAGAGTGCCAGGGCTACAAATGTGTGCTGCCATACCTGACTTTATACCTGCTCTTTAGGGGAGCACACTGAAGTTGAAAGACATCAAGTGCCTTCTCCAGGTCTCACAGATGATCAGTGTCAAGCCAGGTTGGAGTGTAGGTCTGCTTGATGTCACAGGCCACATTGTCTGCACAACAGCTTTTGTTTGTTTGTGTGTGTGTGTATACTGGTTATTGAATTAAGGACCTTGCACTTGCCAGGCAGGTGCTGTACTACTGAGCTATATCTCCAGCCCTCATATTGTCTGCAAAATATGTAAAGAGCTTTTATCTGGGTGTGTGTGTGTGTGTGTGTGTGTGTGTGTGTGTGTGTGTTACTACGTGCTGAACCCAGGGACCCTGTGTATTTTTTGAGATAGTCTCACTACATTGCCCAAGCTAGCCTCAAACTTGCAATTGTGCCTCAGTCTCCACCACACCCAACTATGTGACTTTATTTAATAAGCTAATTTTTATTATTGTATAAGCACCATTTGATTTTCTTCTCACTTGTTTTGTTTTTTCCCCAAATTTGTATTTTATTCTCTAACCTGCTTTATACCTACTCTCCCCAGTAAATAAAATTCCTCCAAATTCCAACAATTTTAGTAGTAGTACTTTTTTTTTAGTAGTAGTAGTATATGTATTTCATAAAGTAAATGGCTTGTGTCAATTTGTAGTAAGTTATGTTGAAGGGAAAATATGTGCTGCTTGACTATATATAACTATAATTATATATATAATAAATGTTATATATGATAAACCATATATATTATGGACCTCATGCTTGCCAGGCAGGTGCTGCACCATGTCACTGAGCTAAATCCCTGGCCCCTTTCCTGGCCTTTGAAATGTGTACCCCTGGCTGAGCAGAAACTACAGAGTAAACAGCAAGGAACGCTGTGGTAGGAGAAGCTCCCCAGCTGCTGAGGTTCTGAGGCCAGAAGTGGGGAGAGCCTGGGAAGCTGAGGCGCACGGAAAGGAGATGTGAAGAAGCGGTTGGCCTTCATGCTCAAGGACACACCTTTCCAGACATTTGGGCAGCTGTTGGATGTTTAAGGGCCCTGCTAACTTTTGCTTCCACCTTCTGTCACCTTGTCATCACGTTCACAAAATGATAATGCCAACTCCCTCCAGAGGCATTTTCTTTTTTTTTTTTTTAAACACATTTTCTATTTATTTTCACATTCCAAAGAGGAAAACAAATACATATGATAACAATAAAATTCTTCATAGGAAAATTTGCATGGGTTTAGGTACACAATTTCTGTATAAGTATAGGCAGACATCATCAGATTTGTACTATCACATACATATGTTATATTCATGTAG